ACCGCATACGGGGTACCTCCTGGGGAGCCTGGGGCATCACCCAGCGCACCATGGACGCCACCTGAGGTGCCTGAGGCACCGCCCAGCCCATAACAGGCGCCCCTAGTGCCTTCCACAGATCCGCTTTGTTGCTCACATGCACTTTGAGTCCCTCTTGATGTACTAAAAGAATTAAGTGAAGACTCCTTACCCATCCTCGAGCCAAGAACTCCTAAGGGTCTTTCACCAGCTGCCAGGACCACGCCAAAACCACCACGAGGAGAAAGACCTGAGCATCCGAAGCCTGAAAGGGGATCACCCAAGCCCTTGGCGTCGCCTAAGGGGGCGCCGCCCATGGGGACCTTTGGTGCACTCCCTCCACGCTACTCCTTGCCAAGACCAAGCACTCCACTGCCTGCATCACAACGAACTCTACCCGAAGCCTAGGCACCGCCCACCATACCTCCCTCCTCATGGGCGCCACCTGCGGGATCAAGACCACCAAATTTTATTCGCTCCACCCCACATGTTTGTGAATTCCTAGTCTCCATGAGTATTTAAAAAAAAAAACTAAGAGAGAAATAGAGGAAGATGAGATGAACAGTAGCCTTGAGGAGTCCTTATATAAGAGGAAATAGCTTCTTGAGAAAGCCTTGGAGAGCTTCTTGAGGAAGCCTTGGAAAGCTTCTTGAGGAAGCCCAATGGAGTAAGCTTCTTGGGGAAGCCCAATGGAGTAAGCTTCTTAGAGAAGCTCAATGGAGTAAGCTTGGAAGGAGAAAAAAGCCTCTCGAAAAGAATGAGGGAGATAGGAACAATGATCCCATTTATAGACGATGATGTTAAAAATAAAATAAAATAAAATAAAGTAGAAGACCAACGCCCAAAGAGGCCAAAAAAAAAAAGAGGAAAAGGGACCAACGCCCAACCAGGCTAGGAAGAAAAAAGAAAAGAGAGAAAAGGGGGGAGGGCGGCGCCCAGCCAAGCCAAGAAGGAAGAAGAAACAGAAAAAAAAAAAAAAAAAAAAAAAAAAAAAAAAAGGAAAGGAGTCAGCAAGCCAAAAAAAAAAAGTGGAGGCAAAGGGCCAGTGCCAAGGAGGGCGGCACCCAAGGAAAAAAAAATTCGATACTGATAAATATAGCGGAGTCCTAAAGACAAATAAATGCAAAAAAATTCTAATGAAGACGAAGCACATGCCCACAACTCCTTCCTCTCGCAAAAGTCAGAGGCTTGGGGTATGGGGGGCAAATGATGAGCCTGAATTTTATTGGGCCAAGCCCAATCAAGATAAACTAAGAAAGCCCAAATAAAAGCCCAACTGAGGCCGTAAATCAACAAGAAGTCATGAGGCCATAAATCAACAAGAAGTCAAGTGGGCCAAGACACCAAAGGCTAACGCCCAAGGGGGCACTGCCCATGGCCGGCCCCTCCTGGTTCTTCCTCTTTTGTCCTCCTAACTCCAAAGCAAGTCCAAGCCAAGTCAAGTCCAAGGTCAAGACCAAGCCTAGTCCATCTCAGGATCCTACTCTGACGAAATAGAAGCACAAAGAAAGAATATCGGGATACGAAAATCCAATCCTATTAAGATTTTACTTATTAAAAAATATTAGAGATTTTAAAAAACGTTGTTTTTCACTATAACATTTAATTAAAACATATTAAGAGAAAGTTATTTTGTGTCTTTTGTTCAGATTTTGTTTAAGAAAAATATAAATTAATTTTATTGTTTAAGTAATTTTATCTGGAATTTTAGTCTATTTTTCCATTTTTGTACTCAATTGTTTTTTCAATATCAATTAGTGAATTATTCTCGGTTATATTTTACCCCTCATTTGGATTCCAGCTCCGTCCCTGATTATTATGCATAATAAAAATTAATTTGGAGTACAAAACATAGAAACAAAATACTAGCAAGGCATATAATTTGGAGTTAAGAGTTAAATTGCGGTATTTATCAGATTATAAGTCGATTTGTGTTTATGGTTTAAATTTGACATTGACAATTTAGAGCTCTGACTCACAATTTCGTCTAGTGTCATCTTGTGACACTAGACAAAAACAAAAAAAACAAAAAACGAGTTCCTATTGTAGTAGCTTGTGTGTAACTATGGTTTTGACTTTTCATGTAACATGAGGAGACACATGACCAAACGTTGCAACTTGCAAGTTAATGACATGTTTAAAGATTTTGGCTGAGATTTCCCCAAAGACCGACCAAAGGTTTTTCCCTACAAAGTGGGAAAGCATCAAAGTCAAAGGCTTTAATATTCTAACATTTGTATGAGAAATGATTGTTGAACTGATTAACGTGGTACTAACAAAGTCCCCAAAGACCACGGTATAACACGATTAGTTGGCACAAGTAATAAATAGGTCAAATTAAGGTTCGATACGCATAGCACAATTAACGGGTACTGTAAATAAAAAATAAGTGTTTAATGAATATTGTAGACAGAAAATAAGAATTTTATAATTTTTTAAATAGTATTATTTAAGCTGTTGTCAAATTAAATAATTTTTTATTAACACATATCAAAAGTGATACAACACAAAAATAACATGACTGAAAGTGATACGACATAAAAACGACACAATACGACACAATGGACACCCCTGCCTATAATAGTATGGGACCTGTTGATCTTCATTATAAGTAGAATGAATACCTTGGTTTGAAAACGAACTGTCAAACACTTTGACTGTGTTTCCAAAGTTTGGACTTAGTTTTCAAATAAAGATTGCGGAATCAAAATTGGTTTGGTGCAGTACCAAAATTTATTACCTTCTAAGGTTTATACTTATTTGACGTAAAAGCAATAACTGTAACAGACATTATCGATCCTAAAAGTTTAGAATAGATTAGAGAAGTTGTAACTTTCAAAAGTCAAGTTATATATTTTAAAGATGAAGTTACAACTGATCAAAAGTATTCATGATTGATCGTAATATTTTATGATAGATTATCAATTATCTCAAACAATTATACCTTCATCTTTAAAAAATGTAATTTATCCTCAAACAATAATAACTTGCGGCATATTAGATGGTTTGATCTATTTTTTCTACTTTTTTAATCGTTAGGTTCCCGATTAAGTGGATTAAGGAGTTGATTGGACGGTGCCATATTTTTTATTAGGACCTACAATAAAATCAATAATTATAATTATAAAATCTAAATTTTAAATTCATGTAACATTTAATCGAAAAGTTCACTTCAAGACCATGCATCATGGTGTATTTTCCAAGAATTTTGTAAAGCGTTGTTAAAATTTAGCTGGTTTAATTTTCATTGGTTAGCTGGTGTCAGCATCTCAATGGCTATGAACTACTTTACTCGTAATTGCCACCAAGATCTGTTTTCCTACTGCCAAACATTATCCTATTTTTTAAAAAAATTTCGCTTGGTCACAAATTATCGTTTGCTAAGAAAAACTCGAATAACAAGACTCNCCTACTGCCAAACATTATCCTATTTTTTAAAAAAATTTCGCTTGGTCACAAATTATCCTTTGCTAAGAAAAACTCGAAAAACAAGACTTTTTCTTTTTATAATCTTTGTTTTTTCACTAGAAGAAAACTCGAGAAACCTTTCCTTTTTGAATGTAAATGTGCCAACAATATTGATGATATTCACCATGTCTCATACATTTTCTTTTAGTAGTTTACTTTGGATTGTAGAACAATTTGTCTAACATTTATCCTTCTCAAGTTGGGTAACCCCGGCTTACTCCCAAAGAGGAAAGAAGAAGACACTCATCTACAATAATAAAACGCGAGATTTCCTTTAATTTGACTTACCGAAAAGTCCTCAAAAAAAAAAATAATAAAGAAAGCACGAGATTCAACAGCCCAGCTCACCCCAGCTACTTGTTAGGAACGGAGTCACAAATCTTATAATAAAATAGATTTTCCAAGCTTTAAGGGACAATCAATCCTTATGGTAAAATTCCAATCAATGCAGTTCAAATGTCATCTCATTCATGCTTGAATAGGAATTTTTCTGCCTTGTAAACATCTACCTGCTTGGATTTTTCATGTTTTTTCTTTTATACTTGTCATACTTTTAACATCATGACGCAGAACATGCATTACATACATAAATACATATATAACTCAACATTATGGAATCCAAAATCTATAGAGTTATATGTACACTGCAATCAGCATAGAATCTTAATACCAGTTCCAAGCAAGTATAAAGGAGTCCAAAGCAGGCGTTTCGGGTTCTAAATATCAGACCTTATTGTTGCTGGTTGAAATTGTTATGACTTTATGTTGGCTAATTCAAATTAGCAAATGCAATGGCAAAAGGAGAAAATGTAACCAATCCAATAAAGTCAACAGAAGCACAAACAATTGATTAAGCAAACTGGACAACTCAAATGGTAAAAGAACTGCAGCTATATAATACTATCAGAAGTTTTAATGTATGTGCTACATAATCAGTAAATTTTTCTACCGTTGTACTCGTGTGCAATATGACCACATTGAAATTCCCTACTTAGCAGTGGACAAGTTGATACATGCAGATGCATATCAAAGTTGCCTTGAAACATATCTGACACTGTTCTGTTCTGTTCTGTATAAGATTTGTATTGTAACCATCTATACATGGTTACAAGACCACCAACATCTGCTACATCTATGAAGTTCTACAACAAAAGTTAATGCATTCTTTGAAGTGCAATGCCCAATATTCATCTTTCATAACATAGAAGTACATATTAAACACTATCAAACAGGACGAGAGATAATGATGTCCAAAAAAAAGTCAAATACAAATGAATCCTTGTATAAAAGCTATTTGTACCAATTTTATTCAGGAAGTGAACCTATATCAACCAACCCAAAGATGACCAAAGTTTAAAGGGCACAGCCTTCATTATATCATAAGACATCATCTATTTCCTCTTTCTCATCATCTCAACTCAAATGTTTTTCTTTTCCACAGCTTGTAACTTATTTTAGCTTTGCAATCAAGCACTCAGCACTAGCAGTGTCATAACAGGATTTGCTGCAAATGGACACGCGTCCAAGATGATTTTCCTTGATCTTCTACAAAATTACTGCTGCCACTAGTTTCGCTAATGCTTGTCATGTCACAATCCATCTCAAAATCCATATTCTGGATGCAATACCATACAAAAAATTCCGAAAGCATTTTTGGACTTTATTTACATCCTTTTGATTTTGTGGTCACTTCTTGTCGATCACACAAATTGAAGATCAATTCAAAAGAACGATACTCACTGTTACATTTGCTGGTCATCAAGGATTGTAGTTCATTCATTATAGAACTAGAGTTAATTAGAAACCGCTGTCTTGCTCTTCTTTACCTTGAATATGTATACTCCTTACTTTATCAATGTGTATGCCTTTGGGTTCAACTGCTTCAGCCATACGATGCCACCCGCACACAGACATATAACCACCCCAACCCCATATCTCTGTTGTTTGAACATTCTACCTTTTAACAAGGAGTGGAGGATACACACTGCTAGGATGATGATGGTGGAATGTTACCTTCACGTAAAGGACCTAAAATAAAATTGTTATTGGGAATAGGCTCTGAAATGTTTCTCCAGGAACCTTGTTTGTATGATTTGTATCGGATGTTTGAAAGTGAGCCGTTCCATAATGAATGGTTCATGTTCATCAGTGTATATAACCATATCTGGTTTTCAGACAACCATCTTCAGTCAGAAATGGATGAAAGTAAATCAACAAGGCTCAACAAATCATAGAAGCGAAACATGAGCTCAGAAAGGACCTCAGATTTTATCACTCACACCATCCAAGACTCATTAAGTAGAACTTGGGGACTTCGCATTTCTAGTATCTTAGTCATTGCATAATGACACCTGAAAATCCAATGCAATAACAGAAGGTGTTAGGATAGTATCCATCTTCCTGACTAATAATTCTCGCAAGGAAAGTTAATAGGCAAGTTCAAATACCTCCAAGGTAGGTGGTCGAGGAACATAGATGGTGACACAATAATATCCCTGAAGGATTCTCTGTCTGCTATATAAGCTGCATAACCACACCCTTCCTCCTGAGTTCTCCAGCGTTTCCATAGAGGCATATGGAAGCTAGTCCTCTGTGGTACTATATGAATGACAAGCCCTGGTATATACATCTCCAGAAGATCACCAGATGATTCAGAAGATGGCACAGCTTCCATAAATACAGATACAGGATCACCATATGAATTTATATCAGTAGAAGAGCCAGAAAAAGGATTGGTGAAATGATTTTCTGAATCACTAAATCCCATTTTCTTATGAGATCTGTCTTCCATATCCACCTCTTGCCAGAAAGAAACCTCTTGATCTTGTTGCCTGCATTCTTTAGTAACATTGAAAATGTTTCAGCAGAAGAATCTTATGCAGCCAATGTTACAATCAAAAGGAGCTTGTGATACCCAATCCGCATCATAGCAAAGACAATAATTGTGTTTTTGAATTTTAAGAAACATGCATACAAAGGCAATCTTTAGTACCATTGAAAAGCTGATTCCTCTTGACCTGATTGTTTGTTTCTTTGGTTGTCATGGTCCTAGAATTCAAATTGGAATCTTGTTGTCGATCCTCCTGCTTAATTTGTTCATGATTACTCAAAAACAAAAATCGCCGTGCAAGTTTGGAAATTACAGTTGAATCAGCTGTTGCATCTTCAGATAGCACTGAAATTGCAGCTCCACGAAGCCTCATAATTGATGCAACCGAAAGACGTGAGGAGAATTCATTGTTGTACACGATGCTGCAGAAAGTGTGCAGATTCACATATTAGGTTCGCTGGACAGAATCAAAGGTCCAGGTACGTACATACCGGAAAAACTGCATATAATAGAATTCTATTTATAACCGAGAACTGTCCCAACCACACACAATTTGGATTTGTGGCCGCGAAGTCAGTTCAGGATGCACATTGGGGTCAACTAGACTGTTTCTTATGAGATTCAAACTTGGAAATACATAATCCACCAGCCCATTGAAGAGTAACAATTGAAAAGGGAGGAAAGGTTTTAAAATGACAATAATGGAGACAATTTTAATGGCCATTACAATCACCTTGTAACAAATCCCGAGCATGCCTCTGCTATGACTGGATCCACGCATGGAAGGGAGCCATATGTATAAACATGTAAGCTTGGGTATCGACTGTATAGCTACTTAAAGAGCAGAAGAAGAAGTCAGGTTTCGTTGTTATCTAAATAGTAGAAGATAGTTAAATACCCCTGATTTGACAACCTTATTACTTCTAATAAGCCCAGTTGACATTTCACTGTTACCAACAAAAAGGGGCACCAGGGTGTCCCATCAGCTGTAAACAAGAAACATACAGCCAATGGATTCTAATAAGGCCAACATAAGATGTAACCCAATATACAACTCCCTTAGAGCCACAAATTATGTGAAAACATTGCAGAGACTAAAGTTTACTTAAACAAGCTTGATTATGGATATTCTGCAACACAAATTCTGTTCAAAGTTGTCGATTTTGCAATGTATCTGTGCTCATTGAAAAATTGAGAGGAAAACAAAGTTTATCCGTGAAACAGGAGTCCCCTAATGCCGAAGTAACTCAAAGTGGAATGGAAAAAGGGACAGGAAGATGACTTTAGTTTCAGGGCCCGCGCAGCCCGCCACAACACCTGAACTTACACAAATAAAAGCATATCAGGTACTTATAAAAGAATTAAAATATATGTTTCCAGGAATAAGCATGTTACTGATGAAGGTTGGAAAAGAATTGTACATTATAATCATGAATCAACCAATGGTGAAGCCCAACTATTCAGCCATACACTAAAAAACAATATGTGAGGAAATGAAGAAAGGACCTTGTACTACAAGGAATAACAAGAAGATGCCATTACCCTCAGTCCTAACAATGCAGCAATAGCTCCTCCAAGGGAATGTCCAACTATGCGAACACTATATCCATCACACTCACATCCAGCTCCCAGCAATGAGGAAAGAAATCCACCCAAATAAGGTGAACTATCTACATGTCCTATGCCATCACAATCATCATAAGGGAGAATAAAAATTTAAGGCAAGAAAGAACATACAGAGATTGTCTTGGAACTTAACAAATTCCAATGCAGGCATCAGAACTAGATTTAGAGAAGGAATACTTTTCTTCTCAATTAACATGATCAAGGGAAGCAAAGTTCTGCTGACGAATCGTGCACAAGTAAACATAAGTAGCACTTTGAGTTAAGAAACAAGTACAACTTAAGACATCTATATTATTATAACCACAATATGAAAGCCAGAATTAATATCGAACACATCATTCATATCATGAGTTAGATATATCATTATTCAAGAATTTACAAAAATTAAAGGTAACTAACTGGAAGAATACAAATGTCATATCACAAGAAAAGCAAAACATATGATGATTACCTAATATTTTATTCACCTTTGTGATATGTCATAATTTCTTATGAAATTTCTTATAACTCTTACCACTACCAACTCAGTTAGAAGCACATTGTGACATAGCAAAAAGCAGAAGCAACCATTTATGAAGCCAAAACCTTCTATTAAGGCGTGGGTTTGTATAGTGAGTGAAGAACCCTTTATTCTTCTTTCTTGTCCTCTTTGTGCTGTGGCAAATCCTCAAAANAGCAAAAAGCAGAAGCAACCATTTATGAAGCCAAAACCTTCTATTAAGGCGTGGGTTGTATAGCGAGTGAAGAACCCTTTATTCTTCTTTCTTGTCCTCTTTGTGCTGTGGCAAATCCTCAAATTAGGAAGACTTGCCAATTATTTTTGGGTTATATGTCTATAACATGACACTAGAGTTGGGACTTGAGTGGTTAATGAAACAAGCCTCTCACCAGTTTGAATCAAAGATCAAAATTTCATTTCTTTGTATTGTTTCAATCAACCAGGAACCGGAAATGTTTTNTATATGTCTATAACATGACACTAGAGTTGGGACTTGAGTGGTTAATGAAACAAGCCTATCACCAGTTTGAATCAAAGATCAAAATTTCATTTCTTTGTATTGTTTCAATCAACTAGGAACCGGAAATGTTTTGGAAACATATAGGAATTTATTTTCAAAACATTCTAAAACATTGCTCAAAATATATAAAAACATTCTGAAACACCTCGAATCATTGGATCTTTGATTCATTCACTAATTTATCTCCTTGAAAACAGAATTGTTTCAGCCATTTCAAAATGAGATTTTGATCTTTGGGTTTGGCTCATTAGCCCACGTGTGAGCCCGAGTTACTTGCGAGGAGGCTATGAAGAGAATTTGAATCTTTAATCGAAAAAATTGGGCTACCCAATGTTGGTTTTGTGGTTGAGTGGCCTCTGCATGTATTGCAATAGGTGGTTGGATGCCTCTAATAGGGTCATTAAGTAAGTGAAAGGTTACACCTATTTCCAAGGAAAACAGATAAAACTTAATGAGACAATACCTGTTCAAAAGGGAACCTAGGTAGCCACTGACACTGAGATCTTAAAAGGAAGTGTGAAAGGAACCCAAGTCCTAAAACTAAGATCCTCAAAGAGGCTTAGGAGAAGAGGATCCAAAAGTCATCGTCTTTCAAATGCAAATCTGGAGAAAGGGATACCCTAAGGAAACAAAGCAGATAGATGGGTGCTTTAATTGTGAAGCTCCAAATGAAATCCATCGTGTATAAAATACATTGCACCAAAGTGAAGAATAACTAGAGATTATAGGAAGACTGTGAATTTTTGGAAATGGTTGAGGGTTACTAATTCTTTACATTTGACATGGTGTATGATAGGGATGGAGCCACGCTCAAGAAACTTGGATCATCATGAACCAGCACTGATGAGGAGGATTTCATTCACCCTTTCAGATAGAACACATGGAACACAACTCAATTGGACCCAGGGAATAGACAGCCCAGGATAAAGGACTCAGGCCCAATACTCAAGGGAGGCTCTTATTAGGGCATAAACTTGTTAAGCGTATCAATTGCACGTGTGGAGGCAATTAAACAAGACTCTCAAGTCAGTTAAATGTGCAAATTAAACGTGCCTAGTGATTAGAGCCAAATCAGTAGCTAGTTACCACCTTATAAGCCTACTAATCATCCAATGGCTACCTCAGATTTCATCTATAATATGGGAACCGCACCATGTGAACATGCTACATAGCCAATATCCCATATGTAGATAAAACAGAAGCACACAAGAGTCAATACTTTCCTTTCATCCTAACCTTGTCGAATCCAACTTGAATGTCGGAGAGCCTTAGATTGACATCACACCAGTGTCCACTTATCTCCAAAGCTTTATTTTCTATCTATTTTTCACAAAACCCAGGAATTTCTTAACAGTGATCATTTTAATGCATCAACAGTCTAGCCTTGTCTGTGGAACGTTAGTGTTTTCCGGCTAACTATAAGTAAGAGACATCAACTATATATACAATGTTGCCATGGAAACTCCATAGATAGTAAACGTAAGTCCATTAGAGAAGTTTGATATTGAATCAATATTATTGATTTATTCAAATACGACTTCAGGTAGAGATTCAACAGCTTTCTGCATTATATGAGTATATTCCAAAAATAATCAATACCTATTAAGAGATCCGCTAAAATAAAGTAGTCATTGTAGGAAAGTTTTCTAAGCCAATAGAAACTCTATAAGGCTACCTCATTATTGACACATGACATCTCCAACTTACCTGCCAGCCATGCCTTCTATAACACATATTTCACAGCTTACACAGAGCACACAAGAGCTAACGCTTCCATAAGTCATAAGCTATAGAGATAACTGGCAAAGAGGAGAGTGAGATAACTGGCAAAGAGGAGAGAGAGCCTTAGTCCGATCCGACCGTACACTAAGAAGAAGGATCTTTTCACTTTTGGAAGGGCACTAATTGAAGATAAGCAACATTAATTTAGCAAGGTTGAATTAGTTCTGACTTATTACGCCTACTGATGCTAAAGGAAATTTACTATAGATTCCTAAACTAAGCTTGGAGCTAACAAAAACATTTAAAGAACCTACTAACGTCATCACTCCAATGAAAAGCATGACTGCACTATGCTTGAAAAAATGCACATAAGAAAATCCCTGTTGTGGAAGTCTGTACATGTAAAGCTGCCCATCCGGGTGTTAAACGCATCAAAATAAAGAAACCCACGGTGAGATTATTCTGGAATACCACTTGGTGAATATTACTTTTAGAGGGATGACAAACCATATCTTGTTTAGTGTAACCATGACCAAAATCAGACATCATGTAACTTATAAACCTATTGATGTCAAAACTTTAACAAAAAATGTACTGCAGTGACAGAAAAAAACAAAGAAATGAAATAAATGTACAAAAAAGCAGTACCATTAAATGGAAACAGAACTTTCAATATGCTTAACTTCATTCCTTGCAAGGACAGAAGCTCTCTAAAACTTCTTAAAGTTAATAATTATAAATGGAACCATAAAGATATGTAAGATTCAGATTTAAATAACAGCTAATCAGATAATGATATGGGAACAAAGAAACAAAACTTGGTTTAAAAAGTGGTTAAAATGGCTTAATTTTCCTTATGCTGCCTATTTCTTTTTTTTTTCTGGGGGAGGACACTGAAACGACTCTGTTTGATGTTAGTATATAGAAACTGGTAATAGATTCAAGAGAACATAAAGAATAAAATTACAACTTTACAAATTGGAAGGCTTAAGTTAACAAGCTTGAAAGGGTTGAAATGCTCAATGCAATGGCACTGAAAGTAAATCAAAGAAAATGTCTTTACCATTATCACTAATATTTCCATCAATTTGCATGAAGAGATCCCGTGCAGCCTCAGCTACGCCGGAGTGCCCGTAATGTGGTGAAGAAAAAACCACATGTTCCCTATGATTGCCTCTGAGAAAAAGAATGAAAGGCAAGAAAGAAAGAAGAAAAAATTATATCCAAATGAGCCCAAAAACAACACCAGATGACAGCAAAAAATGTCTAAGAAATTTGTAAATGCCAGCAATAGGCATATGCTTGGACATGAAGCTGTGTCCAAATGCAATTTTTTCCACAGTACAACTGAAAGATCATTGTATTATGCAAGGCATTTCAACCACAACAAACAGGGACATCTTGTCCTCTGGATGCTTTCGCCAACAGTGGTGGATCTTACCTACTCACTTTTGAATGAACTTCCATCGCCTTAAGAGTTCAGACCATATACAGGATGTGTTGTTGTGAATGCCCACATAGGCAGTCCTAGTATGATAGTCTAAGCTTATCTTCCCCGCGAGTTGAACTGCATCCAGTATAATTCTTGTTCAGTTCATTCCCTTTATCATCTGTTTGATTGGATTACAATTACCTAGGTTCCTAAACTTGCACTAGATGGAAACAGAACTCCTTGAGTGACTTTAGATATGTAATTCTTTATTCTGTCCAGTCAACTACACTACATCTTGCCATACCAAACGGACTGCAAAGCGCCATGCTACTCAGAACCACATGATATGCGAAAGGTAGTGCGATGAGAATCTAGAGATAAGGATCAAAATTTCATTTCAAAACGGTCAAAACTAGTATTATTTTAGGCATAAAGCGAATTAAAGCGAACCGCTCTCCTAAGGGCCCAGGCGAGAAGCGAGAAGCAAAGCGAACAATATAAAAAATAACCAAATATTTTAGTTTGATACTTTCATTACTCCTAAATATTCAAGTTTTAACTTTACAAATACAAAATATTTAAATGCAACCAAAATAATAAACATCAACAAATTTTAAATAGATAAAATATTAAATATTGAACATTATTGCATTCTAAAAATAATCAATTGACATAATCACGTTATCTAAATATAAAGCTAGCAAATATGAGTTCGATTTCCACCGTGATTGATTAATATCATTACTAAACAAGCACTCACAAATTGGTTAATCAAATAGAGCATATAGCAAATTAATTAATCAATTTGATTAACAAGAGTATTTACATCAAAACAAAACATTCAACATCATCTAATCATAATAAAATAAATTGTCATATGATACTATTAGATGAATCAATCGATTATTTTATATATATACACATACAACATCATCTCTGCTAAGGTTTAGTTAATGTTAAGGAAGGAGGGAAGAAATAGGAGGAGGAGGAGAAAATAAAATAACTGCAGTCAGGCGTTCGCTTTTCTCGCTTGGCTCATTTATTCTCTTCGTCGTCTAGGCTCGCTTTTTCCTCGTTTTACTTAACCTTACTTCGCCTGGGATATTTAAGGCAACCAAGGCTCGCTTCTCACCTATGCTCACTTTTCACAGCACTGGTCAAAANGCTTGGCTCATTTATTCTCTTCGTCGTCTAGGCTCGCTTTTTCCTCGTTTTACTTAATCTTACTTCGCCTGGGATATTTAAGGCAACCAAGGCTCGCTTCTCACCTATGCTCACTTTTCACAGCACTGGTCAAAACAACCGAAATGTTTATGTTTCCAAGAAAATGAAAATGTTGTTGTTTCAAAGGAAACTGAAACGAATTAGTAGTTGAATCAAAATTACAATACTTCGAGGTGTTTCAGAATGTTGTAAGGTGTTTCGAGATACTTCGGTATGTTTTCACCAATTTGAAATATTTCGAATATGTTTTGATATATTTCAACCAATACTTTGAAATGTTTTAGGATATTAATTCCCAATTTTTTTCCATTTCCTAACTAAGCAAAACAATGCATCAAAAACAAAATTTTGATCATTTTTTACAGATATCCAAGCTCATAAATACTTCTTTAAGAATGCCTATTAAAAATCGCCTAACTTAATAATCAGCAATTCCTATATATGTGGGAGCACCTCTCAGGGTGATGGAAGAGGTAAAAAGTAAGAATGATGCTGCAGACTGAAGATTTCAAAGCGAAAATGAAAGCCTTAAAGAAGATATTGGATCCAAAGCATATATCATTGGTAAATGATCACGAGAATGAAACATGATTAAAAAACTGGACCCATTGATTTTCTTTTATTATGAACTACCACTTGCCCTAAAAGCTTTAACAGCTAGAGAATGAGCTCACAATTTATGTCAACCTCTTACTATTAGGCCTAGGACCTTAGGTTGGAGATTTGATGATTTGTACTAGTACTCGCATATGACGATTTGAAAATGGATCAATTGGAAAGTGAAGTACGAGCATCAAGAGAGTTGAAGACTTCAAAGAGGCATTAAAAGTGCAGAAAAGGATCAACCAGGCCAAAGGCGAGGAAGACTTAACACGCAGAAGACTTCAAGACTCTTAGGTCTAGTCTCTAGATGCATAAGGTGTCAATATTTGAGTTTGACACAAAATGAAGATGGCCAGTCTGCTCCGGAAGAAAACAGGACACTGCAACAAGTAGAGATGATCCAATAAATTGGCACATATCCAGTCAACTAGACTGATCACTTTGGAAGAGTTTCAATTGACTGGGCTTTGTCAATAAGAACTCCTCCAATCGATTGGATCAGGAAAAATTTTCAAATTCTTCCGTTGGATTAACCATTAGAATTGTAACTATATATTCATTGTCATCAAATAAAATTGATGGCTTAGGGGTTTCCTACCTCCCAATTCCATCTCCACACACCATAGGAGAACGAAAAGTTGGCAAAATTGCCATTTTACCTTCCATCCAATAAAAGATTTTGCCTAAGACCTTCAAAGACATTTTGGGGCTTGCCACTCAATGTGACCTGGTATAACTCTTTCCATTTATACGTTTGTATCATTTAGTCCTACACGTATATGAGAAGGCATTGCCCTAAGGGGAGCATGCAAGTCAATCAAGAAAGCTTAATTGTGGTGTAGAGATTGAGATGGTGGATGGGTTGTAGGCTAGCCTAGAAACCTTCACAAACCTAGATTGGAGTGTTATCGGCTAGTGGATTGCTCTTACTCTGACCCCAAGGTTTTTGGGATTGTCTTGCATAATCTCATCTACTGAAGAAATTAGGCATCTTTATGAACTTCCTGAAGAAGCCTTGTGTTTTCTGTGGTATCTTTTAGAAGCTCACACTATTTCTTTTCTTTTAGATGCTCCTCTACTTACAGCTTATCTTTTCCGGTGTCGGCTTAACTCTACAAGCAACAATCCTCTTGCTCTTAATTTGTCTAAATTTCTCGTGGTTTTATCTGTTGTCTACCTGGCAGTTCTCTAAACTCACTACCACAGATATGCTCTTATCACTTTCCACAAACCAGTTGATGTTGTTCCTGATTCCAGCGTTACTCCTGCCACGTCAGATAATTTTATTGCTCATTCACCTCGATCAGAAGTCCAAGCATGTTGTGCTTATAATCTATGCACTCTAGCTAACACACGTCGTCAACATGAAGAATGGCATCAATTCAAGATAAACTGGTGTCATCTCAATAATATACTTCCTGAGCAGGTTCCCCTACCAGTTCTACAGGATGAATATGTTTGGTCCTCAAATAATGCCTTGGATGCCAAACCCATTGATAGGCATTTTTATATTATGCGTACGCATGATCCTGAAGATCTTTCCAGTTCATCTGACTCTCTTCCTGATTCACCGCCTCATATTGATTGGTATGAAAACAATCCTGACGACTATGAGTGATGCAATATATTACATAAGCATGATGTATCCAATGATGTAAGCAGTGATTGAAGATATTATGCAAGTCTACTAGGAGAGGCCTTGGGTTCCCCTAAAAGGCATAACCAGGAAGTGTCCTGACCTCTCCTTCCTTTGTAACAAAGCTCTTTATAATATTATCAAGTGTTTCTCTTATTCTCTGCTCTAGTGTTCTCCCTTTGTAGTAAAATACTTCTTTCCATTTGTACATCCTTAGTGTGGAAACGTTGGTTGGACAACCATTCCTCAGAAAATTAACTAGAGTTTCAAATAAAGCTTGCCAATTATGATGGTTTCTCTTGTATAAAAGAACTGTCAAGATGGAGTCACGAACTTCGGGAGTAAGTAAGTTAATCTAGAGTGGACATATTGATAGGAGGACCAAAAGACTTGTTTAAGAACTTTTCTATAGAGAAAATCAGCTAAAATATTTTTACCACCCTTGATATGTTTGATTTCAAAAGACCATTGAGAAAACCATTCAGCCCATCATAGAAGCTGGGCATTCAGGAGCCTTTTCTTTTTGCACTTGAGCATTTGAGGAAAAGAAGACATATCCATTTCAATAAGAAAATGGTGACCAATTAACTGAAACTAAAACTTCTCAATTCCTTTTCTCAAAGCAAGAATTTTCTTAAAAGTTGAATGATAATGCAGCTCAGAGGGCTTAAAGGCACTACTCTTATATCCACAAAGAGATCTATGACCTTATTTTTCCTCAAACAGAACGGAAGCCCCCTGAAATGATCACTAGCATCAGTTAGAAGAACCCGCTTTCTGGTAGAAGGAACTTGAAGAGCAGGAAGCATCTGTAACAATTGCTTGAGCTATAAAACAACATGGATTTGCAAATCAGACCAATGAGGAGGGTTCTTTTTTAGCAAAGCAGATAAAGGACTAGTGTACTAGGCCAAATTTGGGATGAAATCTGCCATGTAATTTACAGTACCTAAAAATTGTTGAATCATTTTAACATACATAAAAACATCAGGAAATGTAGTAAGCTGTGAAGCCACGAGGTTGAAGAGAGTAAGGACCATCAGCATCCCAGCCTTGATAAACGGGAGTACTGTTGCTAGAAAATCCAGCAATAGGAAGTGGTTCAACCAGATTAATTTCAGTGGGAAAAACAGGGCATGTGGTGGAGTGGAGATAAGGACAGAAGGGAGAAACTGAATCTCAACAGATCCATCTTGTTTTCGAGTAAAACATGAACCAACGATTGCAAATGTTGGGTATCAGCATGTAATTTCTCCTACCAAGTGACCCAAACTCAGGAAGAAGCTTAATAAGGTCTTGTCTAGAGAGCTGACAAGGGACATATGTTAAGCTTGGGGTTGTTGTGGAATCAACAGTAAGAAGCAAAGCATCTTTGGCTTGAGTATTAGAAAGAATGAAAAGGTCAAAAGCACGATTTTGAACCTGATAACGGAATAAGTCTTATTGACTTGTTGGGCATCATAAAGTTGAATTTAAACTTTCAAAGCACCGAGTAAGTGCGGATCACCAGACAGGTATGTTAATATTTGGAAACAAAATGACTACTACAGTACCTGCATTCAAAATAGTTTGCACAGTGCCAATACTGGCATGTTGATACTCCAAGAAACGAGAATCAAGAAGAGCTATAGGTGAAACAACAGGAACTCCTTTTCTGCCGTGAAAAGTTAGGGCAAGCCTAACAGCACCACAGTAAAGATGAGTAAAACATTCCCGCTGCCATTGAGATAAGAGTGAAAGAGTAACAAACAGCTCAAGAGAAGATGAGGGAATAGAATATTGATCACAAAAAAAACTTTAATGTATTCCCTGGCTTCAGTGGGTCTAGAAGTGCCAATCAATTTATGAACATAGGTTCTGAGCGAGTTAGAAAGTTTGGTAAAAGCTAAATAGGGATTTACAGCAAGAATCTGAGTAAGAGGACCTTTAGAGTCTTCAGGAAGATAAGAAACTTCATACAAAAACTCAACTTTAGAAGACATAAGGGAAGAAGAAGAAGAAGAAGAGAAATTTGAGGAATTAGAGCGNAACTTCATACAAAAACTCAACTTTAGAAGACATAAGGGAAGAAGAAGAAGAAGAAGAAGAGAAATTTGAGGAATTAGAGCGAGAGAACTAAGTATTTAAAGCCATAATAAAGAAGAGATATTCTGTTTAATCATACACAAGATGGTCAGGGTGGCAAGGTGCCTCTTTATTAGAACAAGAAAAAGCTAAAAAGAGGATAAATTCAAAAAAAACAACACATCCAAGACAGCAACAACTTGCCTAATACAGGCTACAAAGTCTCAAGGAACCCTCTGTTTTAATCTGAAAACGGAGAAGACTGATTGGTCGGTACCACAAAAATAATCACAAATTGTAGGATTCAGATTAGTGTCCTCTATTTTAAATGTGGAAGATCCAACAAAGTGGCAACCATGGAGCATACATAGAAGACGATGAACAGAGCCAACCAAATTAGTGATAGCTGGTACTCAGTAAAGAAGCAAGAAACCTCCCCAGCCACCGTTTGTCGATTAAATAGAGAAGGGAATTAAGGGGAAAACATAGTAAAGGAGAAAGATCTTGAAGAAGATGGTCCAAAAGCTGTTTGGGTTGGAGGTAGGGGTGTTTCACCCTACCCTACAGGTAGGAATTATGGTATTCTATCTTCCTACCCAATACCTTACGANGGGGAAAACATAGTAAAGGAGAAAGATCTTGAAGAAGATGGTCCAAAAGCTGTTTGGATTGGAGGTAGGGGTGTTCACCCTACCCTACGGGTAGGAATTATGGTATTCTATCTTCCTACCCAATACCTTACGAAATAATTTTTTCTTGGTCTACCCTACCCAATCAAGTATATTATTCATACCCGATTTCTGTCCAAAAGAATTAGGTAGGAAGTCAGGTGAAAACGTATTTTTTAGTTATTAATTTTTGGATTATTTTAACAATTTAATTAAGTAACCTGACCAATTAACTAATACAATAAACCAATAACACTAAAAAAAATATAATAAATTTGATAATACATAAACAATTACAATAAAACATAACAAGAAAGCCATAAACATCAATACATCAAACATCAATAAAATATTACAAAAATTTTGTAAGTATTCTGCATTCCTACCCGATTTTTTGAGAAATACCAAAAAATCTTTCGTTAGTTTATCTGATTCTTTCTGGTAACCAATCAATAAAGTCGGATAGGGTAGGGTAAAGTCGAAATTTACAAATAATCGAAAATTTGAATGTCCCTAGTTGGAAGGGGATAAATAAGTAGAGGAGTGAGGTGAGAAAGGATCAAGAGCAATTTTCACNCGATTTTTTGAGAAATACCAAAAAATCTTTCGTTAGTTTATCTGATTCTTTCTGGTAGCCAATCAATAAAGTCGGATAGGGTAGGGTAAAGTCGAAATTTACAAATAATCGAAAATTTGAATGCCCCTAGTTGGAAGGGGATAAATAAGTAGAGGAGTGAGGTGAGAAAGGATCAAGAGCAATTTTCACAAGAGGAGCCGGGTTTCCTTTTTGGAGCTATTGTTGCCATGATGACAGTAGAACTTGAAGATGTCTTTTTTCAACTTCTTTTTCATCAATCAATTGTGAATCCCATTTAACATCTTTACATAATACACGATATATAACAGCTGCTGATGAAGGTCTTGAATCTTATGATTGATTTTAGAAACCAAAGCCTTCCAAAGTAATAATAGAATGCTAAAAAAGTTCATTAAGAGAGGCAACTGGTAAGGTGATTCCTTTAACATCAAGAATCTTGGAAGTTTCAATGCCAATGGGGTCTGGACGAGAATTGAGAAAGACCTGTTTCACGTTGAAATCATCCATGCCATTGAGAACATAATATCGTTTGGCCATGCGATTATAATGTTTCTCCAGATCTTTTCGTCGGAAGGAATAACATTTCATGCATAAGTATTTTTCACGGGCTTGGACGGCATAGTGACCAGGATTACCCAGAAACTCATTATATGGGAAATTCATGAATTCTTCAGCTAAGGGTTCTTGGCAAAATTGGAGTTGGTACTATTCATTGGTTAATTCTTCAGCCATGGGTACTTGACTAATCACTTCCATATATACTGGATTCATCCACTCTACATTAAGCCTATCCAATACTACATTTGAATTCATCAAATTGTCTTACCTTTCACCTTTATCAATCTAAGCGGATACCCTATGACCAAATTCAGCTGCAATATTATGTAACCCGAATACCAACCAGCAATTGATTAGTGATCGCTAAGCTTGAACCTTCGATAATGAATTGCTAAAATGCAATGTCATAGCGGGAAGATGAGGAGACTGGTGGAATGCAATTTTGGATTAATTGCGACACTAGTCAATTAGAGAAGTTCCAAAGGTTGCGATTGACGGTGGAGATTTGACTGTGGATAGATGTCACATATCAGCGGTGATCAGGGTGTAAAATTAGGGGTGTGCAAAATGCTGGTTGGAGGTTAGCCATATATCCACGAAGGATTGGTGGTTAGGGGAGGTAATAGTGGTGGTTTTCTAGTTGAATTTTAATTGGCATATGCTGGGCAGGCCGATTTTTGGGGTTGGAATCAGGGGGGATGATGTTGGTCGTGGAGCAAGGGGGAGGGACTCCCATGGGGAGGGAGGGGATTACATAGGAGGGGGAATAGTGGGCTCTGCCTCATGGTGGGGAGTGGTGGGGTGGGGCATGGGAGAGGTTTTCTGCCCATGGGGTTCGGGATGGGTTGCTTTGCATAGAGATTAGGAAGGGGGTTATGGGAAGTTAGGTTCTGATGGAGGAGGCAGGCATGGGGAGGAGTGTGGATGCTCTTTTGATATTTATTTTGAATCCTATTTGATCAGATTATCAGTCATACAACGGGTAAATAAGCCATTTCATTGTTAAAAACTATGATTAAGACCCCCATATCATTCAACAAATGTCAATGGCTGACCGTGCTTTTTGTTTGTCCCTTCTTTCTAGAAAATGAAACCGCCATCATACGATCATAGGCCGCTTCAAGTTGTAGGAAAGTTTCTATGATACCAGTTCTTGCTCCTTATCTGTGTTGATCATGCATCATATTATACTTTCCTTGATCTTTAAAAATCTATACAACCATTAATCACAGGGAATGCATCTAATTTTTTTATGATTTCAGCAACAACTTGGTCATAGCTAGCAACACTGTCTCGATTGTGGAATGACAATTTCAACAACTAACCAGCAACAATGATTAATGCATAAGGTGCTGACAACGAGGATCATCACCACAGCTGGTAAACTTAGAAGGAAGTTATGACAATCATGGTGGTGGTGCTTTTTGGTAGGTTGTGCTACGTTTATGTGGAAGCTAACATATTGGACTCAACAAGATCAATAATAGGGGCACTAATAGCAAGACTGTTGGATCAATAATTAGATCTGAGGATTTGCAGAATTCTATATATAGGATAAGGAAATATAAAAGAGTTTCTTCCAAATTACAGGACTTCACTTGATTGGTGAGAAGAAAAAAACAAGGAGGACAGTTTTGGTTCATCAAAACTGGAACAATGTTAAGGAGCATTTTTTATCATGGAAATTGGAACATTGTTACCCTACTTCTAAAAGCATATAAGGGCGCACCAAAGTATCAACCACTTTATGGATCTGAAATCCACATTCAAAAGCTTTTAAAGCACAAGAACGAGAAAAATTATGCACAATTTGGAATATGCATGAAATGAACTAGTAAAAACGGGGATACACACACACACAGACTTACTTTATAAACCCATCCAGATCTTCTGCAGTGAGATTGCATTCCCTGCCTAAACCATCCGTTATGAGATCTTCAGGAGTCTCAGTTCCTCGTACAGCAATGACAACAGACTTTAGATGATGTAGAACGACAATGAAGTATGCTGCTTCACATTTAGCCTGAGGTGAAAAAAAGAACAAAGTATTAGAGATAGAGGATGGACAAATCAGGCACATTGTAAAAAAGACCTTTTAAGTGCCCTGAAAATATAATGAAAAAATCAAAGTTTCAGAAATAGAGTACAGACAAATAAAACACATTGATGATCAGACTTTTTTAGGTGCCCAGTGCCCTAGAAATCACATACTAGTAGTGTACTATTGTTCTTGTAGGCACTTAGAGAGGAGTGTGGAAGTACATAGATATGAAAGTTGCACACTTTCTAAAAGCTCAATCAAAACAAGGCCTTGGGTGAAATAGGCTAAGTATCTCACCCATTCGAATTTCCAAGAATGTTTGTCGATTTGTTTTAGTTTGATTTGTTAGCCAACATGTGAGCCCAAGTCTCACGTGTTGCGTCTCACATAGAAATATTAGAGCCCAAGTCTCACGTGGCATGAGAACAGGAGTTACTACGTTTGAATCTTGTTGTCACCATGCTAATTATAAGACTTCCAGCTGCTTGGCGCAAAACTTGGCTCACATGTAAGGTGGCAGGTTGAAGTATAGAAGTACTTATGTTCTTAAGCTTAGAGATGAGATGGTGGTTTAACAACAACAATAGCTAAAAGTGGCCGTACTTGGTTTCTTATCCTTACACTACCAATGTCAAACCCCCAAAAAATAGAAAAAGCAGAGGACTGCATGATGTAGTCGACAATTAGTGGAAAAGCTATATGAAACCCCTACAAACATAAAACCAAAAAATATTTCACTAATACTGTGGCAAGTTTTAAGTCACATTGCATTAACATTGAGATGCAGTCAAAATGGGTGAAAGGATGCAGTGGTGCTCCCAATAACAACATTTACGAAAGAATTGATATGCTGCTCGAGATGTATGCCAATAAAAAAGAAAGGAATGAATTTTGTAGACCCTCATATAGCAGGTCTACAAAAGACTACAGAAAAGGAAGGAAGCAAAGAAAATAGAAGAAAACAAGATATGAGCTCTATTTCACTAATTAGATGGATATAGTTACAAAGTAGTCAAGGATCAAAATTTCATTACGCTAAACTTGGAAACGAAAACGCTTCGATAATGTTTCAAAACATTTCATAAATAAGATGGAAACAAAGAAAAATTTAAAAAATTATTTTCGAAATATGCCAAAACACCCTTCGAAACCTATTAAAACACCTCAAAACATAGGTATTTTGATATTCAATGATTTGTTTCAGTTTTCATGGAAATGGAAACATTAACGTTTCCACCATTTCGAAATAAAATTTAGGTCCCTGAGAGTAGGGCTAAAATTGAATAAAAATATTTGAAAAAGTGAATTTAGAAGAAAAACTGATAAGATAAANTGATTTGTTTCAGTTTTCATGGAAATGGAAACATTAACGTTTCCACCATTTCGAAATGAAATTTAGGTCCCTGAGAGTAGGGCTAAAATTGAATAAAAATATTTGAAAAAGTGAATTTAGAAGAAAAACTGATAAGATAAAAGTACTAAAACTTCTCATGGGAAAATTTCAAAATTTACATAATTTGCATGCATGCGATCATTCTATTCAAGATAATGCATGTGGTATATAATATAAGATCTAATTTTTAAACTCACCTGATTAACACGCCCTCTCCGAAGTACATCGGGAGATAAGTTAAGATATTTCAAGAAGGCTGCTGAGTGACCTCGCCACCAATTATCACCTTCAAGCACAGGCCACCTAGAGAACAAGGAAAGTGTAAGAACCATGAGTCTCAGACACTAACATGAGGAAATTTCCAAGTGACAATCATATACAAAGCAATAAAAAATGCCAAGGGAGAAAGTATAAATCAACAATAGCCTTGATGATTGTACAGGTTATAAAAATTCATGAACCAACAGTTGAGATGGATTAATGACCTTTTACGCCTCCAGGGAGTCAAAATCCCTTGCCTGTAGAGCCATGCACAAGGAAACAGTATAGGATTTCTTCCAAAATCCAGTAACAAACCCTGCACCATTTATTGCTTTAATTTTATCACTACCTTGATAAATTATCTGGAGGATTACTTAGGGAATGTACAAGCACAAGACCGTATAGGCAGCTTCAGCAAATGGATAAAAAGCAGCAGCTTCGCGTATCCTGTCTTCAGGTGCCTCCACAAACTCTCCATATGATTTAGGAGATTGACTATCCCTCTGTCTTTTCATTAAAGCTAGTCCTGAACAGGGAATGCAATCGAGTCATGCAAAATAATAACCACAAAACAATCCTGAGATAAATTGAGTATAACTGAATAAGAGGCAGACGTCAGCCCAGTCCGGTACAGCCCTCATAATGCCCACTCTAATTTTCAACACAAGTAACATGAACCATGCATGAACTGCATCTATCATCAAGAAATCCATTAAGTTTTTTATCAAGAAGTTTACAAGGTTTTTTAACTGCAAATCATTTTCCTGGCACAAATAGACAAGCAGTGAATTTTACACAGCCATGCCCATGTCAAATTCTGGTTCTCTTAAATAATTTGTTTCATTGTAGGTTGGATTCCACCTTCTAAATGGATAATGCATTATATGAACAACCATTCTTAAATCTGGATTCTCAGGTCATGCAAACATTTGCACAACTGTGTGGGTNATCCATTAAGTTTTTTATCAAGAAGTTTACAAGGTTTTTTAACTGCAAATCATTTTCCTGGCACAAATAGACAAGCAGTGAATTTTACACAGCCATGCCCATGTCAAATTCTGGTTCTCTTAAATAATTTGTTTCATTGTAGGTTGGATTCCACCTTCTAAATGGATAAAGCATTATATGAACAACCATTCTTAAATCTGGATTCTCAGGTCATGCAAACATTTGCACAACTGTGTGGGTGCATGTGGGGTGCATGGGGGAGTGCGTGTGTGTGAGAGAGAGAAAGACAGAGAGAGAGCAGAGCACACTTGCAGACACATGATTTACAAACTAAGAAGCTGATGCTGCCTCAAATATTGAGGTTCAATTATAACCATCAACACACTGTCATTAAATTCTCTTTCTTCTTTGCAGAAAACAAAAATCATACCAGTCCTTGCTGCTAAGAAAATATCATGACCTTTTGCATAGGTTTTAAGAGCTGTTTTTTTTTACGGTTGTCTATCCTCATTTGTTACAATCAAAAGTGGCCAAAATTTAATAGCGATACATTTCCCTTTTTTTTTTTCCNTGATGCTGCCTCAAATATTGAGGTTCAATTATAACCATCAACACACTGTCATTAAATTCTCTTTCTTCTTTGCAGAAAACAAAAATCATACCAGTCCTTGCTGCTAAGAAAATATCATGACCTTTTGCATAGGTTTTAAGGGCTGTTTTTTTTTACGGTTGTCTATCCTCATTTGTTACAATCAAAAGTGACCAAAATTTAATAGCGATACATTTCCCTTTTTTTTTTTCTTTCCTTTTGATGGATATGAATCATTCATCTTATCTACTAATTCACAATGGCAATGATCACCTGTACTTTGGTAAACTTAGATCTAAAATGTTTTTTTAACAAACCTTGACAAATGGTTTCCAGAGACCATTTTCCTTCAGTTCATAGTTATCAAATCGTGTATCGGAAGGCGTATCGTATTTTAAAAATAGTGTATCGTATTGTGTATCGTAAGATACGGTGCAATTTTAAATAAATAATAAAAAAATATAAATACCTTTGAAAAAAAATTATACACTCATAAAAACATAGCATTTCATTAATACTCCACCAACTATTCAAGTCATCAACATAATCCACTACTATTATAATGCAAAGTTCACAACTATAGTTCACTAATTCAACCACTTTTTAAAATTAATCAAGATTCAGAAATTTTTATACAAAAAAAATATATATATATTTGGCTTTGTAAATAAATTAACATCATTTCTTACTGCACTGGACCACCGGTCGATGGAGACTGAGAAGAAGAAGAAGAAGAAGGGAGCTTCAATGGAGCCTGGGCTTTGATGGAGACAGTTTAGATGAAAGAGATGCAGCTTCGATGGAGGCAGCTTCGTAGACCAACAATCACCCACAGTTGAAGGATCACCCACAGTCGAAATCTCAAACCCATAGTCAATCACCCAGAGCGATCATCCACAGTCGATCACCCTCAATCAATCACCCACAGCGAAATCCCACAGTCAAAATCCCACAGCTATCACCCACACTTGTCGTCGATGGCTGAAGGGAAAACCAGAGACCTCTAAGCTTCTGACCAGCANGCATTTCATTAATACTCCACCAACTATTCAAGTCATCAACATAATCCACTACTATTACAATGCAAAGTTCACAACTATAGTTCACTAATTCAACTACTTTTTAAAATTAATCAAGATTCAGAAATTTTTATACAAAAAAAATATATATATATTTGGCTTTGTAAATAAATTAACATCATTTCTTACTGCACTGGACCACCGGTCGATGGAGACTGAGAAGAAGAAGAAGAAGAAGGGAGCTTCAATGGAGCCTGGGCTTTGATGGAGACAGTTTAGATGAAAGAGATGCAGCTTCGATGGAGGCAGCTTCGTAGACCAACAATCACCCACAGTTGAAGGATCACCCATAGTCGAAATCTCAAACCCACAGTCAATCACCCACAGCGATCATCCACAGTCGATCACCCTCAATCAATCACCCACAGCGAAATCCCACAGTCGAAATCCCACAGCTATCACCCACACTTGTCGTCGATGGCTGAAGGGAAAACCAGAGACCTCTAAGCTTCTGACCAGCGATGAGCGAACGATGAATATGAGAAATGAGGGATTTTATTTTTTTTGGCAACCCTAGCCACTGAAACGACGTCGTTTCAATGGTTANATGAGCGAACGATGAATATGAGAAATGAGGGATTTTATTTTTTTTGGCAACCCTAGCCACTGAAACGACGTCGTTTCAATGGTTACAGGGATTAAAAAAATAAAAACTTGGCACAAAACGACGTCGTTTCAAAAAAAAAAAAAAATTCGCACGTATCGTGCGTATCGTATCGTAAAAACGTATCGTGTATCAGACGATACATCGCAAAAACGATACATAACTACGATCCGTATCATTTTAGGCCTGTATCGTACGATACGTATTGCGTATCGTACGATACGTACAATTATGCTTCAGTTTAAAATGGTTTTAATGTTCCTTATGTTGTTAACTTCATTTGTTCTGACATGTTCCACTACGAATTTTCAATTTGAAGAAAAAACTTTATTCAATTGTATATACACGAAATATTTTTCAATATTGATATTGGAAGAAAACGACTCCTTAATAGGCAAAAAGGGGTGAAAGGAAAGTTTTCTTATGCCTAGAGTTCAAAGTTGGTAATTTCATCAATTGGAAGAGCAAGCACTAAGCACAACCCTCAACAGAGAAAAGGATTTCAAAGCCACATTTATAGTGAAGAAAAGAATTTACTAAACCAAACCATGGAAGATTTCAATAATTGGAAGACTTCAATACCTGTATGTTGAGTGCCTAGTAGGTCGATGGAGAGTCGCATTTATGTGCTAGGCACAAGACATAAATGGTGGGTCTGTTCTATAAGAAAGCAGGTTTCTGCATGGAATAAGCTTTTAAACCTCATAGAATTTATGACTTTATGAATTTATGGAATTTATGCTTTATGGAATAAGCATTTGTTTTGACTTTATTGGGTGGCTCCAAGTCATGGTTACCACAATTCACTAAACCTTTAACAACCCATGATCTGGGTACATCGATCCCAAATGGGGGGCGTTCACGATCTAGATCATGAAAATGGACGACTCCAAATTGTAATACTAATCCTAAATCAATTCACTTTAGAACATGTAGCACAAATATAAAATACATATTAATTGACTACATATATATAAATTTATAATGATATATTATTTTAGATAATAGAAAATCAAGTACAACTATAAGATAAATGGTAACTAACTATGTGTTTATGAATAATCTGTAATATATAATATTGTATAGTAGTAAAAACGCTCTACATAAGAGTTTCAAAATGAATTGTAACTCAAAATACCATACCAACAAAATCTATCTCCATCGTACCACGTACCTAATAAAATGTCGTACCATAAACCCGTACCCATACCACGTACTAAAGCGACCCACGATCCAGATAACATTGCTCCAAATACTATAGAATTTATGTTTTGTTTGGATGATGTAGGGTTTGAGGAAATAAGTAGATGGACGACTATATGGCATAGCACTTTCTTTGTTAGAGTTGAAAGCAATAAATTAATATTAGGGTTAGAGAAATACACAGAAAGAATAAGAAGAGGCAGAGAATAAAGAATCAGTTGTGTGTAGGTTAGGTCGCCCTACACTGTTATTTATAACTAAGTAGAATAATTACAATTTTACCCTACACTAATTAATCTATGCCTAATATAGAAAAACAAAGACTCTAACAGCTAATTTATGGGTATTTGGAAGGAAAGGAATGGAAGAAATTTTTAGGATAAATGTGAAGAGCTACAGGGACTATGGAATAGACTTTACTTTTTGGACTCTTTTTGAGCCTCAATGTGTAAGGAGTTTGAAGATACTCCTCTCTTTTATATTAGGACATGTTGGAAAGCATCATTTGGCTTATAGTTTGATTACTTTTTATATGGCCCATCCTTGTGTTGGGCTCCTTTTCCACACTTGATATGGTTTTCTTGTAATATGTCCTTTGATTATTAATAAAATGATGTTTCGCATCAAAAAAAAAAAAAGAAATGTCCT